CAGACGGATCACCTAATGGATAGCTATCAGCATTGCTCATGGACCTCCGAAACACCAGAGCCATTACAAGTCGAAGGCATTTTTGAGGGTTAGGTATTTCGGGATTGTTGGGGATTCAAGGATTAAGGAGATTGGAGAGAGGGAGGAGGGTAATTGGGGGTAACGAAAGCATTGTTCTTTCCTCAAAAGGCCACTACAGAAAGAACTTGCACGGTTCTCACACATAATCTTTTATACATATTGTCTGGACTTTAAAAGAGACAGACCTCTGAGTTTGTTTCGGCATTTCTTCTCAGAGTAGTCAGTTAGGAAATGTCGACCTCATCGTTCGCTTGATAAAATTGACGTGTAAAAGTGCTGCCTTGTAGCCTATTTGCAGAAATAAATTCACTTGTTTCACTTGTTTCACTTGTTTCACTTGTTCTACTTGTTTCACTTGTTTCACTTGTTTCACTTGTTTCACTTGTTTCACTTGTTTCACTTGTTTCACTTGTTTCACTTGTTTCACTTGTTTCACTTGTTTCACTTGTTTCACTTGTTTCACTTGTTTCACTTGTTTCACTTGTTTCACTTGTTTCACTTGTTTCACTTGTTTCACTTGTTTCACTTGTTTCACTTGTTTCACTTGTTTCACTTGTTTCACTTGTTCTACTTGTTTCACTGGTATCACTCCGGTCGAGCCGGCCCATTCGTGATGAAGTCTTAAAACTCCACGGAGGTTCAAATAAAACTGGTGACCCAAATAATTGCAGTGACTGTAATATTTGCTCGTCTCGCACTTGACCGTATTTTCCTCCTACTTAACATATGGTGTAAAGCCGGTGACCCACTTAATACAGATGCTCGGAACATAAATTGTTTATCGCCTGCAATTTGTTTATTTTGAACAGAAATAACTTTACTGTTTACAATATAAGTAGTATGTATCTTTGTATGACTGTGCGCATTTATGAAGTAGGAAGAAACCACTTTTATGGGATGGGTTATGGTTAAGCAAAATTTGCCGGTAAACGAGCTGACGGATCACCTAATGTTATAACAATCAGCGTCGTCTATTGACCCCTGGAACACCAGAGGCGTTACAAGTGCGTTACCGGTGTTTTGGAGATATGATTAACAAACCTGTGATAAATCAGGAAATCGAACCCAAATCTTCTTGTTAGACAGTCGTGGCTTCACAAAGGGTATCTGAAAATTCATAAAACAGCTCAGATTAAATATTAACTCTTTGTTTTAAAAAGAAATGATTTATTATTACTGCAAAATATCTCTCAGGCGTAAGAAAACATAAGTAACCCCTTCTAACCCTGATTGAATAAGTAATCTATGGAGTTTCTTGCTCTTTCTTCTCCATAGGAACCTACACCTTGAAATGCATATTATTAGTATGCTTGCCTCTTGCAACTACCATTTACTCTTCTCTGCATCACCCAAAGGTCAGACTGAGAGAAAATACCTGCGGCATTAAGTCCATCTACATATTTGTACATTTTGTGCACGAAGCATAATATATAAATAATAAATAAAATGAGCAAATAACTTCACTTTTAAATTTTTTGTTGACGTTCAAAAGTGCCTTCTTGGTCTCATTGAAATAAATGATTTTCACTTTGGCTTTGACTAAAATAGAGCAGAATAGGTTAACCCTAAGTAGGTAAGTACTGTAAGAGAAGGAAATGATCAATTTCAGCCGTTTAACCGATGGTCAATAACCTATGGTTATTTGTGTAATTCAGTCCACCTTGTACTATGTATGTACCTAATGAGTATTTGCCTAGCTTCATAAGTTTCAGAATTTGAAATGGAATTACGTTATTTGGATTTTAAATACTATCCTCTACTTATTTGATAAGTCAAAGTCAAAGTCAAAGCATTTATTTCAATTAAACCATAGTTTGGTACTTTTGAAACGTCAACAAATACAAAATAAATAGTAGTCTGTCAGTCGGTCCGTCAGTGAAACTAGTGGTGGCTGATGTCCAGTATGTGGTCTTGGATTCGATTTTAGACGTTTAAGATCTTCCCTATCTATATTTATATATAAAAATGAATACCTTTTTCCCTTGGTCACGGCATCACGCTTGAATGGCTGGACCGATTTCACTAATTATTTTTTTGTTGTATTTGTTATTATTTGGAGAAGAAAATATCCTGAAAATCCTACGGGAAAGGGAGAATACGGTATTGGGCACACGAAGTCGCGGGAAGAAGCTAGTTATTTATAAATTAACATAACACGCCTTGTTATCCCCGAAGGGGTAGGCAGAGGTGCACACAGAAGTAACACCCACTTTTCACTATTTATGTTATGAGTCTCATGTAATAGGGGGTAAGCCTATTGCCACATACCGGGCACATTTCCAGACTCCGTGCTACTACTGAGATTTTATTTAAAAAACCCAGTAATACTTTGTCCGACCCGGGAATGGAACCCGAGACCCCTTGCCCATCAGTCGCACTTGCGACCACTCGGCTAACGAGGCAGTCATGTATTTATAAATTACTAATTAAAAATTATTCGGATTGGAAGCCAAAAAAAAGATGAGTTAAAATTTTGTTCAAAAACAACCATAGGCCTAAAAATCTCTAGGTTAGACAAACATTAGCATCATTAGCATCACGCCGGAATCAAACCATGTACCCGTAAAAAAATTATGTCAAAATGATTAAGGCTAAATTCATAGTAAAACATTAAGTTATGCGCACGCGTATACATGCAAGACTTTATCTAAAACATAATAAATCTATGAAGATTATGGTACAGTTTTGGAAAAATATTGAGATTGTGGAGTAACGTCTAAAAATAAACACTATAATAATGCTAATTAGGTTCTATTTACGAGGTTGTCTAGTCTGAAATTTTAGTGTGTCTGGCGATCGGATATCCAAATGTAAGTACCTACAGATGTCAAAGTCAAAGTCAAAATCATTTATTTCAATTAGACCAGGAAGGCACTTTTGAACGTCACAACAAAATATTTAAATATTAAATAATAAGAAAAAAATGTCAGTCGTCTAGTGAAGCTATTTGCTCGTTCCAAAGTGTAGATTCCTATGGAGAAGAACGAGCAAGAAACTCCATAGGTTACTCTTTTTCAATCATGTTCACAATACAATTTTTGGTTAAATTCTTTCGTTGGGTTCAATAATGTGAGAACAATGTAATACCGATATTTGGTTAAGGAGACGGAAAAAGAAAATAACCTTGAGGACAACAAATTTAATACAGTCTGGAGCTGACCAGTCCCATTTGACAGCGCCCGTTCACGAACATGACACGTACACCAGCACCGCCCATCTCGACCATGTTATAGGGAATCGAGCGATCCACTGCACGTGCCACTGCCAATACAATGAGACTTTTGTGTGAGCATGACAACTTCAAGCTGATGACGGCAGGTTGTTGAAAGAAACACACATTACATAACATCACGCCTTTTATCCTCCAGGGGTAGGCAGAGGTGCACATTGAAACCTCAAAATTCATGTCTGTCAATCTGTCTGTCAGTGAAGATAGGTGCATAAGACTACGGCATATTATCGCGATGAGAGCGACAAACGGACAAACTACATGTGTAATTATTATTATAAATTGATGTGTTTTATAATTTACAACATTTATGCGCGTGGGCATCGCAAAACTGTTACGAGGTCGCTTATTGTGATTCTATTTTTAAATCTTTATAATATATTGCCTTTTAGACTTATTACCTCTTTGGTGATCGCCGTCGTGTACGTGGGTTGGTGTCCCGTGTTGGGTAAAATGTTACAAATAGCTATGGTACGATGATAATTACTATTTGATATGATGGTCATAGCCAATGTGGATTGGACTACAGCCTCCACCCACTAGTTAAGTTTGTGATATCCATTTTTCATTTATAATGCTCAAGTTGATTGTAGAATTTCGGAGATTTGAACGATAACAAGATAAAGAAAGAAAAAGAAAGCTAGAACAAATCTTTTATAAACTATGTTTAAAAATCCGACGTCAACGCCCCTTTTTTTGAAGTCGGTTAATTAATATGAGTACTAAAACCTTCTCCTAAGTGTAAAAAACACTTTAATGAAAAGAGCATCAAAATCGGCTCAGCCAATCGCGAGACATATGTACATACACACCTCCTCTGAGTTTGTTTCTGCATTTCTTCTCAGAGTAGTCAGTTTGGAAATGTCGACCTCATCGTTGGCTTGACGTGTAAAAGTGCTGCCTTGTAGCCTATTTGCAGAAAAAAAATCACTTGTTTTATTTATTTTCACTTGTCACACACAGGAAAATCTGATAACCTCCTTTTTCGAAGTCGGTAAAAAAAAATACGTGTCCTGAATGAATATTATTTTTGACTCTTCTATCATCATCTATTTCAGTCCACTGCTGGACATAGGACTCTTTAATAGTGAGTTACTTAGTTCAATATAAGCTTTTCGCATCTAACTACTGCCAGCCACATAGGTAGAAGATATCGTCACTTATTTTAATTAGGCCTTCGGTAACCTCACTCACACGACGAAACACAACGCAAGCAAGAGTGTGGGAGAGTTTTAAGTGGGAGAGCCATGCTTCGGCACGAATGGGCCGGCTCGACCGGAGTGATACCACGGCCTCACAGAAAACCGACGTGACGCAACGCTTGGGTTGTGTTTCGTCGTGTGAGTGAAGTTACCGGAGGCCCAATTACCTTCCCCTTCCCCAATCTCCCCAATCCCTGAATCCCCAACGATCCTCAAACTCCTAATCCCTAAAAAGCCGGTGACGCACTTGTAACGCCTCTGGTGTTCCAGGTGTCGATGGGCGACGCCGATTGCTTACCATCAAGTGATACGTCTGCTCGTTTACCGGCTTATGGCATAAAAGAAAGCGTTGGTTTCAAATCGCTTTTCTGTGAGGCCGAGGTATCACTCCAGTCTTCCCATACATACCGAAGCATGGCTCTCCCACACAATAAGATTTGACTCTAAACGGGGTATCTAATTATTTGGTCTTCCATTTTGTATTCCAGGATACCTCGGCGATGATATGGCGGAAACCATCCAGATATGCTGCAATGAGGGTGCAGGGTATGCATGGAACCACACCCTCAGTGACTGTCAGGGCACGCTGACGGTTCCACCCGAGATTCCATCCGCCTTCGGATCCATGTGTCTCCTGGCGAAGGCACAATGCTGCAGGGAATATTTTAAGTAAGTTATTATTTGTTTAAAAGTGATCAATTTTTTATACATTGGATTGAGCAACTAGCTTCACTTCTAAATTTGTTTGTTGTTGACGTTCAATAGTGCCTTCCTGGTCTAATTGAAATAAATGATTTTGACTTTGACTTTAATGCTCTGTCCACCTTATTGGGGTTTATTTCTCGCATCGGGAAAAATATAATTATTCTGTCATTTCGGTTTGCCTAATTTCAAGCAAATGGGTTTACCTTATTTAGTTTTGTTTAGAAGATAAGTCTCAGATCATTTACTGATGAGATCTGTATTTTTAGACACCAATTTTTGCAAATACGTAATGCGTTTTACCTAAAACTAGACTAAACGATCACTCGAACCCAACAAGTAAACGATAATTGCAAATAATTCTTGCGTAAACTACGTGATAAAACACCGACTTCAACCCCCTCGTTTTTGAAGTCGCTTAATTATACTTCTACTAAGTGTAACAAACACTTTTTTGAAAACTGCATCAAAATCGGGTCAGCCAATCAGGAGATATTCGCACGCAAACATAAATATATACAAACATTCCTCGTCTTCAACAGCCTCCTTCTTTTTTGAAGTCGGTTAAAAAATGAAATTATCTGACCCGGCAATTGAACTTGACATTAATTCTATGAACAATATTTCTGACAAATTATTTATTGTTTTTGTTCAAATATCGGAATTTACGCGATAACAAAAATATGAATGATTAATCATTGAGTGAATTTTACACTTTAATAGGTCATAGTTTACCCACGTTTAGTAGTAGGTTTACCCACAGATTAAGATATATGTTTACAAATTTTGATAATTTTACGAGAAATTAAACGATAATATTGTGTTATTTACAAATTCTCTAATATCAAAGAACTTACCGCATGGTGATAAGAACATTTCCTTAAAAATTTAATAAAAATATGTTATTTTTATTCCTCATTATATTTTTAGTAGGAAAAATATAAATACATAATACATAATAGAAATAGTCATTATTTCAAGAATTTAGAGGTACATAATGTTATTTACATTTATTATGTTTTACAAAACACTGTTTTGTTTTAATTAATAGTACTTAGAAATATTATTATGAGGAAAAACAGAAGTAGGATTTTACGCGTAGGTACTTACATTACAATATCTAAAGAGTTAAGTAGGTCTGCCTCGTAGGCCGACAGGTCGTAAGTGCGACTGCCGGGCTAGGGGTCTCGGGGTCGATTCCTAGGTCTGGCTTCTCAGTAGTAGCACGGAGTGTGGAATTGTTCCCGGTATATGGCAATAGGCTCACCCCCTCATAAAATTTAAAAGTTGGTGTTACATTGTACAGTGGCACTAAGAGCCGCAATGTGTTACCCCTTAGGGGATAAAAGGCGTGATTTTATGTGTATGTGTTTAGTAGGCAATTAGATTGCCTCATTGGTCTTGGTCTAGTAGTCCTAAATGACACTGCCGAACAATCCATCTCGGGTTATATTCCTGGGTACCTACCTACTATAAATATTCTTATTACTTAATTTTACTTTGACCATACACAGTATCGTCACGGTATAGAGGTATATTAATATTACCGTGGTATCGTTTTCTATGAGACACAGTCATAATATAGGCTTCGGTAAATCAAAATTACAATGTAGTTTCAATTTTGAACTAAACATAAATAAAAGTATTCTTAGATTAAGTGTAGGAGGCCATGCTTCGGCACGAATGGGCCGGCTCGACCGGAGTGATACCACGGCCTCACAGAAAACCGAAGTGAAGCAACGCTTGCGTTGTGTTTCGTCGTGTGAGTGAGGTTACCGGGGTCCCAATAATTAGATGGTAAAATACACATCACATCACACACGACCTTGAAGGACCCATTGCTGACCAAAGCCTCTTCTCACATGGAGAAACTTAAGTATAATTAGAAATTATGAGACGACACATCATACACATCAACATTGATATTGTGAAATTTCATACTCTTGAGTTGCAACACTAGCGCCCGTTGCATCCGTATTGCGTGGATATTTAATGAACTACATTACCATGTACCTAGTTCATTTCAGAGTACGGAATATAAAGCCAAACGGTAGTTTCACTATTTTAACAGGTTTGATGAGGGTTATACAATATTGACATTTAATAATTATATTATTGAGATTTTATTGAAATTGCATTTTTTTATATCATAAGTCGGTAAACGAGCAGACGGATTACCTGATGGTAAGCAACCGGCGTCGCACATGGACACCTGGAACACAAGAGGCGTTACAAGTGCGTTACCGGCCTTTTGAGGATTAGGAGTTTGAGGATCGTTGGGGATTCAGGGATTGGGGAGATTGGGGAAGGGGAGGGTAATTGGGCCTCAGGTAACCTCACTCACACGACGAAACACAACGCAATCGTTGCTTAACGTCGGTTTTCTGTGAGGCCGTGGTATCACTCCGGTCGAGCCGGCCCATTCGGGCTGAAGTATGGCTCTCCCACACATAAATTGACGTTAAGATTGGTTTCAAGAGTAAGCACCCTGGTTTGCTGTTATTTTTCACTGTTTGTCAGTGGTGTCTAAATAATCTTAGCTCTACAATACAGCTTTAGTAAACTCGCAACAATGTAATATCTTTACCTATGCAAATATTTGTAATCTTCTCACTAGAGGTAGAATCCTTATCATAATGAAGTAGTCACAAGGTTTGAGAATATTATAATTGTCTTGGTAACCTTGAACTACATTTTAAGGAAAACAGTTATAATTGTTTACCTTTATTATGTTGAATATGTGTTAATTGATAGTGTTTGTAATGTCTATGATATATTGGTTTGGTGGTTTTTTTAAGGGGGGAAAATCATCGAATGACTGCACCCGCCTGGGTGAGGCGGGAGGGAGTGTCAGACTCTTACTGACTAAAAACCACTCCGTTCCTTCTCCTACGCTTCGAGCCGGAGCCCCGGTAACCCGTTAGGTTCTCCGCGACTGGTTTGGTGGTTACAAGTTCGATTTAGGTTCGGATCTATGAAGGACGAGCTCTTTCTTTTTAAGAGTATAGTGCTTTTAAGTCTTCCAATTTCTCTTGTGTCATGGGTGCATTAACACACATACAAATTTAATTACGTACGGGAGCCTTTGACACAGTAATCGATTTACCGCCGCGCGACGATCTGCGGCCACCGTTAGAGCGGGTCTGCAGACGGCTGACCAGAACCAGACCCGCGCGTATGGACATCAGACCACCACAGATGGGGCCCAACAGGGCTGAAGTCTGACACAAAGCCGTGGAAGGCCTAACGGGTTGCCAGGGTTCCGGCTCCAAAAAAGTTTAATTATGAGTAACAAATGATACTGGCCACTTACATAAAGTTTAAAATGTTTTTTACGAATAATACCGGCTACTTTCAAAAGTAAAGATGAGAAAAAATTAATTCTTCATTCAAATGATTTGTGTTAAATGGCGGGAAATTATACATTACAATTTTATTATTTTAGGGTGTGCACCGGGAGTATTCACGTGTAATGTAACATTGTAGATTCGACTTTGAGCGTTACATTACAATAATATCTCCCTGACTAACGAGCATTTGCGTGTCATGCGTGTAGATTCGACTTTGAGCATTTCATAGCAAGATGTCAGACATTGATGTTACAAGTTGTATCAAGATATCACATTGTATCATTACAAGGTGCGCATTGTAATGCTCGGTTCTCCTCCTTCACTGATGTAATGCTCAGATCTGTAAAGTTACGTTACACGCGAATGCTCCCAGTGAGAGAGGACCTTTAAATGGACTTAATTGATGTGTAATCGCTAGAAAAGGCGAAATGCCGACATGCATCCTTACTAATATTATAAATCGGAAAGTGAGTTTATTTGTTTGTTTGTTCCGACTTCACGCCGTAACTACTAAACCGATTGCTTTGAATTTTTGCATACGTAAAGTTAGTAGTCTGGATTAAATAATATGGTACTTTTTACCCCGAAAAAATTGATATTCCCGAGGGAAACGAAAGTATTGGTATAGATGGCGATACTTTTGATGATGATACTTTTTATCCTTTTGTGACGCGAGCGAAACCGCGGGTAAAAGCTAGTACAAAATAAAAAAAGTGTCTGTCTGAGTGAATTATGATTATTTGTTACAGAAAGCAGAGTGATTGTGAGACGGGTATCGACATAGCGACCAGCACCTACAGTTGTGACTCAACAAAATCTATAAGTAAGGTTAGTAAACGTACTATGTCATTAATAATATTATATATTATAACTAACTAGCCTATATCCGCAGCTTCGCCTGCGTTCACGTAGCCTAATAAAAATACCCTATATTATTCCAGATCCATAAACTATCCTTGTTCCAAATTTTATAGCAATCCCTTCAGCCGTTCTGACCTGATTGGGTAACGAACATACACAGAAACACGGAAAATCACAAAGTCTTGCATTTTATTTATTTATTTATTGAATTAGGGTCTCCAACAAGGAATACGCTTAGCACACACGAGTAGCATTACAAAAATTAAAAGCTATGTGCTTCCTCAATTATAGGAGGCCACAACATGCAAAAAATCATAAAAATATACATAAAACTTGTAACACAAATTAAAAATTAAAATCAAATTAAATTAAAAACTAAGAACAAAACAACTGTGACTAAAAACAATACAAATTGTCAAAAATATGGCACACGTCAAATAAAAACATTTATTATATAGTTATGTGTAAGGAGGTCCACAAATACTTAAATAACAGGTTACGGGTTATCCCAAAAGACGGGTCTCTTTTTATTCACCAAACAAAACTTTTTCGTATTAACTAAAAGTCAAGGGTTACTCACGTGAGTATACTGAGAAAAGCTCTACTAGTTTCGAACTACATAGGGGTTCTTCCTCATGAGCAGCGTGTGCGGCGATGTCGTGCAGTCTACAGTAGGCTAGTTCTAGTAGTATGTCTTATTCGTATTAATTGTATGGGATGAAATTGAAATTATCTTTAAAGCTGTTCGGTACCGATATCTTTGATATTATTCTACACATAAAGCTATGCGTTTTCGTACTACATAAAATTATAATAACAGCTATGCTATTTTGTAACTGTGAATTTGAATTTTAGAAGGGAACTAGGGTATGGGATGACTTAGCTAAAACTACTGGACTGGACTTTTTATCCCGATTAAATGCCTTCCCATGGAATAAAATAATTAGAGGTATTTCATTAAGCACATCCAGATGAAGCATACTTTAGGTGTGTAATCAATAATTATGCATTTTTTGATACTTCCCCATTTTTTTTCGATAATGGGACAATTTTGCGTCCCAAAATTCATTTCGGGGACACCGGGATTCCGTCCTGTTCACATTATCCATAGGGTTACTCTTTTTCAATCAGATGCGAGAGGGACTGCAACACTCTTAGGATAACGAATATCTATAGGTACTTACATATAATAAAATCGTAGGATCATGAAAGCATTTAACACGTCGAGTACCGGTTTTATAGACACAATTAAAGAACAATAGGTCGCGGTCACCGGTGACCGCTTGGTGTTTGACAGTTTAATATATTTTTAAATATCGCTCGAGGCGTGATCTACAATCGATACAGAAACCAAAAATATAGTTTTTAGATTTTCTGTCTCTTTTTCTGTATGTATATCCTGGGTGAACTCAAAAAGTGCTGCATGGATTTACAACTAACAGGTCGGGTCAACGTATAGAATAGGCTCTATATTATCATGCTATCACCTACGGAGGAGGAGCTGTGAATGTTAATGACGAAGTCGCGGGCACAGCTTGTGACAAAAAAACATGCTTTAGAAAAGAGATAGAAAGGAACATACTAGCAGTCTTTAGCATATCTCCATTATCCAACTACATGATAGGCTTAATTCAAACACATGGTAACTAGGTAACTGGGTACTCGTTATCTGACTGATAACTGCAGATGTTTAAATATTTGTACAGCCAACGTGACTACAATAACCCTTCCTTGTTAGTATAGATGGTCGTATCTTTGCACCGGTTTCCTGTGAAGGTGGGTAGAGGTCTCCCTTTTAGGGTTTTTGAAGGAAGTTCGTTGTTAAAGCTTGTGGTGTTGATTTTGGGTGGTTTAAAGGTGACCTCTTTGGTGATATTGGTGTTTTAAATAAGGTTTATTGATACATTTTTAATTTGAGTTTTGTAAATAGATGCAAGGATGATTACAATAATATTTAGAAATTAGTTTATTTACATTTGCAATTGTGAATGAGTACTTAACAATGTGGAAGTTTTATTATGAAACCTTTACCCCTTTTTTACGAGGGTTTGGGAGAAGGCTTCTCTATTTCGTAATTAAATTAAAAAGTAGGTAATCAAGGGTCAAGAAAAATTAATAATTAAGAACATAAACATAGTTATGGTTGACTGCCTCGTTGGACAAGTGATCGTAAGTGCGACTGCCGGGCAAGGAAAGACCCATTCCGGTTCCGGGTTCGATTCCCAAGTTAGGCAAAAAATTATTGGGTTTTAAAAAAAGTCTCAGTAGTAGCACGGAGTCTGGAATTGTGTGCGGTATGTGGCTATAGGCTCACTCCCTATAGCATGGGACTCATAACATAAATAGTGAAAAGTGGGTGATACATTGTACCTACAGTAGCATTAAATGCCGTAATATGCACCTCTGCCTACCCCTTCAGGGATAAAAGGCGTGATGTTATAAAATATCTGAGTTATGATTACTACACATGTATCTCTGATGTAAAACTTCTCAAAATGTAATAGATATTATACAAATCAAATAAATTGATTTCAGATATGCTGCAACGACTGTTCGAGAGGTACGACCGAGGGTTCCACGAAGGGCCCGGAGGCTTGCAAGGAGAGGAAACATGGCATGAGCGCCGAGGAATTACTGGCTGAAGATGCTTTCATTACTTGTTGCAAGGTAACAATATTTTTTTAATTCGCAATTGGCGTCATCAGCCCACTATATCTCGCCTGGTGGTAAGCGATGATGCGGCTGACGATGGAGTTAATCTGCTCATGAGCAACCAATTCATTCGAGCCTTGAAGCTAACCAGCAGCTGTAGCCAAATGCCATTTAGCGCTTGTCTACATGTAGAATAGAAAACCAAACTATATGGAATTGACGTAAATTTTTGACACTTCTCAGTGTCATCCATATATATTTTGATTTCTATTCTCTCTGCAGACAAGCGCTAAAGTGGCGTTTGGCTAAAGGGCCAGGTTATACTCTTCAGGAAATTCTGGCAAAGAATTCTTTAGCTGTTCGAATAAAAACCACTTGAGACGAAATACTCTGTCTGTGTAGGTAGGATACCTATAGATCATAAATCGATTTTGTACCATATAGACCTATCGTAAGCTTCACAATTTTCTTACAGACATTTGAATGCAGTAAGGTTGACATTCGTTTAAATATACATTTTCGATGGCAACTAACGATTTTGGAACTTATTTAATTAGGGCTTTTGATCTTCGATACCTTGTGTTTGATTGTTACAGTAAAAACATAATACGTTGTTGGTTTAGCTTAAGTTTAAATGTGTCATCAAAGATGGCTAAAATTGTGTATAATAGTTAACTATTAGGCTTAGATCATGAGTTGTCAATACCATCCTCAAGAGGGACATCATTGTCATTTATGATAATTAAAACATGAAAAAACAAATGCTACCTCGTTGGTCGCAAGTGCGACAGGCAAAGTATTAATGGGTTTTAAAAAAAATCTCAGTAGTAGCACGGAGTCTGGAAATGTGCTCGGTATATGGCAATAGTCTCACCCCCTATTACATGGGACTCATAACATAAATAGTGAAAAGTGGGTGTTACATTGTACAGTGGCATTAAGTGCAGTAATGTGCACCTCTGCCTATCCCTTCGGGGATAAAAGGCGTGATGTTATCATGAGAAAAAACTAATTTTAAGATTATAAGTAAGGTTGGTTTTTAGTTTTGAATGCTATCAAAAAGTGCTGTTTATCTTCTATACCAGACACAGTTTGGTCGGATATCAGTAGAAAAAGTATTTGAACAGTAAATATTTGATCTGATACGGGAACAGAACCGCGGCCTTGCGACCATTGGCTCCTGTTCTTGGGTTCATCGGGAAATGGGTTAATATAGGACATTATTATTCTTTTTAGAAGTGAATCATTGGTTCAATTAACTGGGGGCTTATTCTTGAATCCAATTCCGATCGATCGAAATTGGTATTGTGAAATTTCGTACTTTTAAATTTCATCACTAGCGCCCATTGCATATGTATTGCATGGATAAAATATGAACTAAATGGTATTTAGTTTGGCTTTATATTCCATACTCTGAATGGTATTTTAACACCTACCATAGGGATTGTACTGTTTTGACATTGAATAATTATTAAGATTTTATTGGATTGAAATTACATTGACATTGGTTTCAAGAGTAAGCACCCAGGTCTGTGCAACAGTATAGGCTGTCGTTACAATGTGTCACGAGTTCGATTTCTACACAGGACAATTCTTTGTGTGTGTCCATAAATGGTCGTTTTGGGATGAAAAGTGAAGCAGAACGTAGGCAAAAACATCAATTATCAATTAATGTACGGACCATGATCAAAATGCATTTTGAAGAGTACCTGTGTGTCGTCAAGTCTCTAGTGAATAAGTTGCTTATTTGCGTGGTCTATCGTGGGCCGCATCGTCGCTTTCCATCGGGCAAGATAGTAGACAAGCGCCTACCTAGGTATTATCAATCCTTACTAATATTATAAATCGGAAAGTGAGTTTGTTTGTTTGTTTGTTACTTCCACTTTAACGCCATAACCGATTAACTAAACCGATTGCTTTGAATTTTTGCAGACGTAAAGTTAGAAGTCCGGTTTAAATAATAGGGTACTTTTTAACACGAAAAAATTTTATATTGCCGAAGAAAAACAAAAGTATTGGTATAGATGGCGCTGTGTGTATTCGTATATGTCACATAGGCTACTTTTTATCCTTTTATGACGCGAGCGAAGCCGCGGGTAAAAGCTAGTAAAAAAATAAAAATTGTTGAAAGTAACTTCAAATTATTTCTTTTGCAGAAAGCGGCTAAAGACTGGAAAGGAGATTCCACTTCGAGAAGTACAAATTCTATAACTCTATCTAGTGAGTACCACCATAACTATTTCCTTGTTCTTTCCAAACCATAGTAACAATGAACTACATCTGGCGCAAAACTATTCGCAATCGCATTTTTTGTACCTACCTTTTTACACTTGTTAAAAACATCATTATAATCTCTTCAGCCGTTTAGGAGATGGTCAGTGGCATATGCAAGTACAATGTACATGCAAAAGAAATGAGCGTGTATAAAGATGTGCGTGCACAGTGCATTATTCGTTACCAGATAAGTGGAGTTGATTTAAGACGTAATTGAAACACTATCTCATTTATATTATATATTAAGATGTTTGTTCTGTGATAAAAGAAGTATTGAATCCTGATATTCTTGGTACTCTGTCGATTAAGACAAAGCTTATGTACCTGATACAGGTGTATACTGATTTAAATGTGGGAGAGCCATACTTCGGCACGAATGGGCCGGCTCAACCAGAGTGATATCACAGCCTCACAGAAAACCGACGTGAAGCAACGCTTGCGTTGTGTTAAGTCGTGTGAGTGAGGTTACCGGAGGCCCAATTACTCCCCTTTCCCAATCCTTGAATCCCCAACAATCCTCAAACTCCTAATTCTCAGAAGGCCAATAACGCACTTGTAACGCCTCTGGTGTTCCAGGTGTCCATGAGCGACGCCGATTGCTTACCATCAGGTGATCCGTCTGCTCGTTTACCGGCTATGCCTAATAAAAAAAACACAAATTTTATCTTTAATTCATTTTAATTTTTTCACCTAAATTCTAAATTAGTTAGCAGTTTTTTTGAAGACTCAAAAGTGACGATAAAAGGAGATAATACTGTTCCGACTGAATTAGACGGAACAAAGTCTGGTTTATTTTCATGTTTGATGGGTCGTCTATGATAGAGCAAAAATCAGGAATCAAGAGCTACCATGTTAGTAACACATTCACAATTTGTTTCAGCACTACCATCAGTTTGCGAAGACTACGCTCCGAATGAGCTATGTGCTCACCATTGCATACCAGTACCAGGGTCTTATAAATGTGAGTGCAACCCTGGCTTCATGCTGATGGCTGATGGAAGGAACTGCAAGGAGGTTGGTATTTTTTTTTTAAGGGGGGAAAATCATCGAGTGACTGCTCCCGCCTGGGTGAGGCGGAAGGGAGTGTCAGACTCTTACTGACTAAAAACCACCCCGTTCCTTCTCCTGCACGTCGAGCCGGAGCCCCGGTTACCCGTTAGGTTCTCCGCGACAGGAGGTTGGTATAACTTCGACACGTAATATCTACGGCGGCGCTACAACTGGTCTTTTAGTTTCCTCTACATAAGAGGGTGGGTGACAATCTCCTTGCTGGATAGGCCGGTTGGGTTTGAGATGCCAGTTTAAAAGAAAGCGTTGTTGAGATCACTTTGGAACTCCGGAATAATTGCTGTGTCATCATCGTTTCTAGTTAAAAAGTAATACGTTGTGGAGTAGGTTCTGCTGACTACTCTGATATTTTATCAAAAATAAACTGATCTGCGACAAAAAATATGCATGTAACCATGCTTCTATATTTCCAGGTGAGTAAGAACAGGTGTAAGCCCCATAATCCCTGCCAGCATAAGTGCAACGACAATGGTGTGGAAGTGAAGTGCTCCTGCAGACGAGGATACGAGCTGATGCCCGATGGAACCTCATGTCAAGGTAAGGAATTAAATTATATAGAGAGAAAAATTGGAAGGTTTTTCCAAAGCCGCAGTAAATGGAAATGCATCGTCTTAAATATTTTTGGGTATGTCTTGGATAGCTAAACAAATATTTAAACATAAAACATTTTTATAGTGAAAGCCTTCTAGAGTTTATAATTCATTTCACCAATTCTCACACATATTAAGTGTGGAAGAGCCATGCTTCGGCACGAATGGGCCGGCTCGACCGGAGTGATACCACGGCCTCACAGAAAACCGACGTGAAATAACGCTTGCGTTGTGTGTTTCGTCGTGTGAGTGAGGTTACCGGAGGCCCAATTACCTTCTCCTTCCCCAATCTCCCCAATCCCTGAATCCCCAACGATCCTCAAACTCCTAATCCCCAAAAAGCCGGTGACGCATTTGTAACGCCTCTGGTGTTTTAGGTGTCCATGGGCAACGCCGATTGCTTACCATCAGGTGATCCGTCTGCTCGTTTACCGGCTTATGCCATAAAAAAACACACACATACTACAACAGCACAAATTCTTCTTCCAGACATAGACGAGTGTCAGCTGGACGTGCCAGTGTGTCTGGCAGGTACCCAGTGTCACAACCTTCAGGGATCCTACAGGTGTATCTTAGGCAACAAGAATAATGTCGAGAAGGGACAGTGTCCACCTGGATTCGCCAGGAATCTTAAAAATAATGTTTGTGATGGTAAGTACAGTTTCCGTTCATATTGATTACCAGATTCTGGTTGTGTCATATGGAGTTTTAAGCTAGAGGTATTATTGCGATTTATGATATTCACCCTTATTCCAGGCACAAGCTTCTTGTCCAAATGCTAGACATATTTCCAGACTTTTTCACTAAGATATGCATAAAATAGGAAACCAGGAGTATTCAGAACTATTTTATAAACATCACATAACGCTTTTATCTAAACATATATCCAAATGCACATGTTTTCGCAAAATGGTAGGTATGCGCAAAATTCCAGAGCCCATGTCAAAATTGAGAATTTACGAAAAAAAAAATCCAATAATTCTTTACTCAACTCTTCAGCCAAAAACTTCTAACAATTTTTCCTATTTCAGATATAAACGAGTGTCTTCTCCCAAACCCACCATGCCCTACATACGTATGTGAGAACACAATAGGAGGCTACAGTTGTGGTGGAGTTACTGGAAACCCCATCAATTTGAGCACATCTCCCCGAACTCATATTGAGGATCGATGCCCACCAGGATTTAAAGTTGGACTTCATGAGGAGTGTGAAGGTAAAGTTGGTATTAATTATGAATTTCAATATTTATTCAGTAGTAGAAGTCTCCCAGCTGATAATAATGATGATAATAATGAATTTATTGGCATCAGTGACAGAAATGTAGGTGAGGACGGGACAAAAATAAAAAGTGTGAATCTAAAAAAGTGTTATAATTAGAGTATTATGTTATTATCAGGCGAGATAGTAGCCAAAAGCTTAGTCATTGTCAATAAAATACTTAACATTGATGATATAGAGCCATCACTGCTTAGTGTACCACCAGATAAAGTTTAACTTCACAAAAAGGGGGAGAAAAAGAGAGTTCTGCCTTTTAATTCCTATTATTTTCATCGTATACAATGTTCCAAGTTTCGACCTCAGAAAAAGTGAAAAGTGCAATTAGTCCATAAACAATTAGTTGTCTCAACATCAAGAAGCTGATTGAATTCAAACATTGAGCTTTTTTTATGGCGTAAGCCGGTAAACGAGCAGACGGATCACCTGAAGGTAAGCAATCGGCGTCGCCCATGGACACCTGGAACACCAGAGGCGTTACAAGTGCGTTATCGGCCTTTTGGGGATTAGGAGTTTGAGGATCGTTGGGGATTCAGGAATTGGGGAGATTGGGGAAAGGGACGGTAATTGGGCCTCCGGTAACCGCTCTCACACGACAAAACACAACGCAAGCGTTGCTTCACGTCGGTTTTCTGTGACGCCGTGCTATCACTCCGGTCGAGCCGGCCTATTCGTGCCGAAGCATGGCTCTCCCACACTTTTGAATCTCTAGCAAGTTTTGTCCAAAAAATCTCGAGAAACTAACACAATCTTGTTTATCACAGATGTAGACGAATGTGCTCTCCGCAAAGACGACTGCAATCCCCTGTCTCAGTTCTGTATCAACACACACAGTTCCTTCTACTGCCAGGATAAGGTCTCCAAGCATTGTCCTCCAGGGTTCAAGTTGAATCCCAAAACTAATAAATGCGAAGGTAATTTCAACTTTATTCTTATACTGTTAACTACTATTCATTATACATTATCTTAAACTGTATTTAGTAGCTTTATAGAAATATTGACATGTGCCTGGTTTTTTTAACATACCACAGATGTTGAAATACCAAAATGATGTTTCGTTGGACTGCCTCGTTGGCCGAGTGGTCGCATGTGCGACTGCCGGGCAAGGGGTCTCGGGTTTAATTACCTGGTTGGGCAAAGTATTACTGGGTTTTAAAAAAGTCTCAGTAGTAGCATGGAGTCTGAAATTGTGCCCGGTATATGGCAATAGGCTCACTCCCTATTACAAGGGACTCATAACATATTATTGGCAGCGGCATTAAGTGCCGTAATCTGCACATCTGCCTATCCTTTCGAGGATAAAAGATGTTATGCTATGTTTCGTTATTGATTGTTTTACATTTATTAAATCAATTCATGGAATGGAACTATCATTGATTTAAAAGTATTGTTTTTCTTTATAGATATTGATGAATGCGAGGAGGGAGGTGTCATCTGTGGACCTGATCAAGTTTGCGTCAACCAATTAGGAAGATACGACTGCAAGGCTAAAGTTGATCCTAGGTAAAGTCTGCCTTCAGCTGTTTCTATACTTCTACCCTTTTTGGAGTTCGTTATGACTTGAATTTATGACGAAATTTAGTTTAATACAATCTGAACGACATCTGAACTGCCAGCTAATATGTAGCTTCATATCATAATAGATTTTTATTCATACTTAATTTGAACTTAGTTTAACTTAGTTTATGTAAAACTAATTCGATGATGAACTGAAATGTGTTTTTTATGTATTTTTCAGTAAAGCAAAATGTCCGGATGGCATGAGATTGAGTGCTACTAGTCATCATTGTGAAGGTAAGAATTTTGAGAAGATATTTGGAAGCCCTATTATTTTCTTTGTCACGAATTTTGACATTCTTATTTTCAGCACTACTTTTCCTTCTTATCCTAATTCACTTGGAGTCAATGCAGTTATATTTTCTTCTTCAACTTTCTTTTCAAATTTTATCAAGTTCTCCTTCTCTTCACTCCTTTCCTTCTTTCATTTGTTCAAAGCGTCTTTTTAGGAACCACATCGCTCAGTATCCTTTCTCTTATAAATCACTTTTCTTATAATCCGCATTGATCTCATTTTTGGTAAACTATATAGGTAATATCATCGGACTGCCTCGTTGGCCGAGTGGTCGCAAGTATGACTGTCGGGCAAGGGGTCTCGGGTTCGATTCCCGGGTCGGGCAAATTATTACTGGGTTTTATCAAAAAATCTCAGTAATAGCACGGAGTCTGGAATTGTGCCCAGTATATGGCAATAGGCTCACCACTTATTACATGGGACTCTTATCATAAATAGTGAAAAGTGGGTGTTACATTGAACAGTGGCATTAAGTGCCGTACTGTGCACCTCTGCCTACCCCTTAGGGGATAAAAGACGTGATGTGTATGTATATATTCTCATAATCCATTCATCTAATTTTTGCTAAACTAAACAATATCATTATTTTCTTCGCAGATATCGATGAGTGTGTAGAAGGGACCCATATTTGTGATCAGTATCAACAATGTTTGAACACGAACGGCAGCTACGAATGTTACTGCAAGTTGGGATATGAACTGGACATCACTACCGGGGCTTGTGTTGGTAAGAAGATTTTTTTTAAAGAATTTTAATGAAATTTAATTTAATAAGAGAATTCAGATTTGTGTCTAAAATAAGACTATTAGAGCATCGAGCTGATGAAAAAGTATACCTAATATTAGTTGGGGCTGGATGATTTTGAGCCCAGCCCGGTTATTCTGTAACTGTCAATTCGGACTTTCGAAGTGGCCTCAAACGCATTCTCACCCGTCATTGGTGGAGATTATTCTTATGCGTCTGCCACACACTCGACGCGTGGTATGGGAAGTAACGACGAAAGGAGGTAGAGGCATAGTGTGGCAACATTACTCGTCATGCCACACGCCATCCTCCTCGTCCTACCCACTGCTCCCTATTTTGTCGGTTTTTGCGCGTGAGTTAAAGGACCGGCAACACGAGGAGGCAACGAGGACTGGCATGGTAATAGGAGCGTCGTTATTAATTACACGAGTAGAACAGTGTGTCAGCAGAAATGTCAACATCACGGCAGTGCGAGGAGTATAGCAATAAGCGGCGGAAGGAGCTTAGTCTGGCAGGCGCATTACAACCAATGACATGGCGAACTGCGATCGAGTTCCCTTGGATTATTTCGAATTCAAAGTTACAGAATAATCTAGCAGTAGTCATTTCAAGATTAATTTCCGAGCTACTATGCTGAACTAAAATGCAAAGGTCCATTTTTGAGACATTACCGAGAGGTACCATATTGGAATCCCCAGCGCAAAAAGAGCGATGAGAACTTTGATGGCGTTTGTGTATCAGTATGTCAATCTGTGGCATGGTTTAATTTTACCTTGTAAACATTTTGTTGACTTCCTTTTCTTTTTGAAAAAAGAAAACGCTGCCCCACACTTAGATTTTCTCCCGTATAGTGGGTGCATTTACAAATATACAAGTTCACATACACATGACACCCAGACTCGAAACAACAAACTGTGGATCACACAAAAAGTTGTTCCGTTCGGCAATCGAACCCGTTACGTGGCAGCCAGTTGAACAGAGCCAGGTGTTAATTTGTGTCTATTTGCCCAATTAAATCGTCGCTTGCAGAAGCAAGAAAATTAATGGTAGGATAGTGTAGGTAGTGTAGGATAATGTAGTTAATGGTAGGAGCAAGAATGCTCCTACCATTAACTTTTCTCTGGATCACCCAAAGGTCGGACTGGGAGAAAATGCCCGCGCCATTAAGTACACTTTGTGCATAAAGCTTTAATAAATAAATAAATAAATATTTTATATGTTTCCATTTCTCCAGATGTGAACGAGTGCGCGACAGGCCAACACGACTGTATCCCACAGGCTCAGCGGTGCGACAACACGGTCGGCTCCTACTTGTGTATCAGGATGACTTCTTGCGGCACTGGCTATGTCCTCCATCACTCTACTGGGAAGTGTGAAGGTGAGGGTTCAATAAATAAGAGAAGCTTAAGAAATGAAGATTGCAAAATAGTATACTTGGAAAAATGCATGTCGTCAAAACATTTAAAGATTTTTAGTGTAAATTATTTACAGATTTTAAATGACATTCTGAAGGATTTGGTAACCCGTTGTTGGCTGAAATTAAGATCTACGCGAGACGAAATTTATGTTTTTTTTTCTAATGCATAAGCCAGTAAACGAGCAAACGAATCACCTGATGGTAAGCCATCGCCTATGGACACCTGGAACATCATAGGCGTTACAAGTGCGTTACCGGCCTTTTGAGGATTAGGAGTTTGAGGATCGTTGGACATTCAGGAATTGGGGAGATTGGGGAAGGGGAAGGTAATTAGGCCTCTGGTAACCTCACTCACACGATGAAACACAACGCAAACGTTGTTTCACGTCGGTTTTCAGTGAGGCCGTGGTATCACTCCGGTCGAGCCGGCCTATTTGTGCCGAAGCATGGCTCTCCCACACTTAGGTTTTTCTATTGTGTCTCATTCAAGAGGTTAATAACAGCAATTATTTTACATTAAACTAATTGACTGCCTCGTTGGCCGAGTGGTCGCAAGGGCGTCTGTCAGGTTCGGTCGGACAAAGTATTACAGGGTTTTTTAAAAATTCTCAGTATTAGGACGGAGTCTGAAAATGTGCCTGGTATATGGCAATAGGCTCACCCGGTCATCCCCTATTACATAGGATTCATAACATAAATAGTAAAAAGTAGGTGCTACATAATTGTTCAGTGGTATTAAATGCCGTAATGTGCACCTCTGTCTACCCCAGTGGGGATAAAAGGCGTGATGCTATATATGCATCATGTATGTAATTTCAATTACTAACAAAATAAATTATTTCTTTTATTTACCACAGATATCGACGAGTGTGCTCTAGGTACGGACAACTGTGGTCCAGACTACCATTGCTTCAACCTTCGCGGATCATTCCGATGTGTTCGCAAACGTACCACGACGACGTCTACTACAACTACACCTATGCCAGAATATGAATACGAGTACTATGATTCTGAGTAAGTTCCATATTACTTTGGCTCAAAATAAAGCTATATATAGCATATCATAATGAAAAAATCAGCACCAAATTGTCCTCACTACAACAAAAAACCATTAAATTATGTCTGACCTTTTTTATATTTGGGCTACAATATGGGGTTCTTCAAGAAAGGAGTAAATAGGTTTATTAAGTGTCGACAAGGAGCATGTAATGCCCCGTGTGTTGCAAGCGTTGACAGGCCACGGTAATCACTTATCATCAGGTGGACCGTAAGCTTTTTTGACACCATCATGGTATAAAAGAAATATTTTACCTAATCTACCTAATCTAAGACAAAATTTATTCAATTTTCAGCGAAGAAACAGATACCAACAACACGAAACCACAAGAACCATCAACAACAACAACACAAACACCAAAACCAGAACCACCAACCACATCTAGCACAACCACAGAAAAACCAAGAATGGAAGATAACAATGTAGAACGACCTCCCTACAGCATACCAGATGTATACAAGAACGAACCAAGTAGTCCTAAATATGAAACGAAACCCACGACACCAGAACCGCCACTAACAACCACAGAACCACCAACTACTCCAGAACCACCAACCACAGTCCAGCCACCAGAAACCATACCGACAGACGAACCGAGACAACCAGAAGTGACTTTCAACCGTCCGACTCCACCAGAATACATTCCTGAAGCTGACTTACCGAAATCAACGGAAGAACCACGTCGAGAGCCTGAACCTACTTATCCACCAAGAGTAGAAGAACCGACTAATGAATCTGTACCAGTGGAACGAGAAACCACGTACAGACCTACTGAAGAACCACGGCATACACCACCATACCAAGTTGTCGTTAGCGTAGGCAAAGAGACAGCCACTCTCCCTGCAGAGAAGAAAGATGATGGGTCAGTAGTAATAGACACACAACTACTTCCCAAAAATGAGTGGACTAAAGTCAATGTGCCTAAAAACTGTGCGTTTGGATTCGAACCTGATGAATATGGAGCTTGCTTTGGTAAGGATTTTATGAAATTGTTTTCTAGTACTATGCTAATGTCAATTTAGATTCTTTGCGATATTTTTATTTAACCAGAATATTTATTTGTTATACATTAGGAAAAGCAACAGCTATACAATTTGATTAAATTGAATGTGGTATGCAACAAGATTACTGGTTTCCACGATTAGTAACAGAGAGTAGAAACATGCCACACAGTACTAAAATTACTTATTAAACTCATTAAACCACAGGCAATCTATAATGATGCACAAATTACTCCAAATATTAATGAACATATAGGTATCCACTATGAATGAAAGAATTCAAGGTTCAGCTGCCTGCGTGCCACAGTAAGTTTTGTGTTAAATGGGTCGAATGAAAAATCTTTACAGAGTTTATTGACATCATTGCTCGCTCGAACAATATACGAATTACTCCGATAGTTGGGAGTTAATATGGGTAACCAATAGTGTTTTTGCAGTACTACACCTTTTTTAAGAAGTTGTAAGATCTAAGATATTTGGTTAGTATCAAATACTTTTGTGAACACTTCCTTTTACATAGCGATGGTTGAAAGAGACTACAAAATGACGAGAATTCACGCAACTTTTATATATCCTCAGATATCGACGAATGTGCCACGAATCGCCACAGCTGTTCTGGTCTAACAGAAGTATGTAGGAACACCATCGGAGGCTACACATGTAACTGCGCCCCAGGGTTCCGACGCGACCTGATCACCAAGTCCTGTGAATTCGTCACCACCTCATCTTCTACCACTTCTACCACACCTTCCCCACATGTGCCTACTTCTACTAGTAAGTGTGTTTTTTGGCTCATTTTGCTTTTAATTGGAATACTTCTCTTTTTAGCAAAGGATTTTCCTTTCGTGCGATCTAAAATATATTTTGAGTATTCTGAGTGCCTCGTTGGCCGAGTGGTCGCATGTGCGATTGCCGGGCAAGGGGTCTCGGGTTCAATTCTCGAGTCGGACAAAGTATTACTGGGTATTTCTCAGTAGTAGCCACGGAGTCTGGAAATGTGTTGTTCATAGGCTCACCCTCTATTCCATGGAACTCATAACATAAATAGTGAAAGTGGGTGTTACATTGTACAGTGGCATTAAGTGCCGTGATGCGCACCTCGGCCTACCCTTTCTCGGATAAAAGGCGTGATATTATGTTATGTTTGAGTATTCTTGCATTAAGAGATGTTTTGTAAAACTTTTATACTTTCCATGTAGCAAGAAATCTCATTGTATAGTGTGTCTTTATAGAGAGATCCTTCTTCTGGGGATATCCAGAGTTCCGTGTCACAGCGAGACCTTTCCGTCCCAGAAATCTCTGCGATGCAGGATTCCACCATAATTCTAAGACTGGAGAGTGTGAAGGTAAGTCAACTACAGATTTCATAATTGTACTTAACCCTTTGAGTACCGTCATTATAGACACAATTAAAGAACAATAGGTTGCGGTCACTGGTGTCCTCGCGGTGTTTGACAGTTTAAGTCAAATTTGTCTGTTACTGAAAATTTATGGGAATGAGGCTTATCTCATACTAAATGGCGTGTTACTCATGGCAAAAGTACCAATAAATACAATCCTTTCTTCTAGTTCCAAAGAAAAATAAAGCTTCGAAGTCTCGATAATCTTGCAGTAGAAAAACTCAATAAATTCGACCTGCATACTAGAAAATATGAAGGCATTAGCAGGGTCTTCAAAAATCCTCAAAAATAACCAACTTCTTAATCATCCCCAGACATTAACGAATGCACAAACGGACAAGCAAATTGTGCAGCAGTAGAGATTTGTATCAACACTCCTGGAGGGTACCGTTGTGAGTGTCCTCCGAACTGGAGACTGGATGAGGTCAGGCATCGATGTGTGCCTTTGAAAAACAATGGACAATTCCCTACTGGATATGGAAATGAACCTGGTGAGTCAAAGAGTAAAGTTTTGTATTAAGCAGGTCACCCTTAGAAGTCTCTTCTTGACGAGGTATCTCGATCAGTTTCAAGCCTCGCCATAGGCTCATAGTGGGTAGGTGACTATTGTAGAGGTAAATGTAAATGGGGATATGGGACGAAATGTTTAGGAAAATTATAATCTGTTTTCTGAAAAGTTCTTAATTTTTACCTTAATCTCCCATTTAAAATATTTTTGTTGGACGTTGAAGCTAAATAGTTGAAAGTCTATTTGATTTTGAAGTGGTGGTCTGGGTATTTTTTTTTTAATAGTCAAGATTCCTTTTTCTTCCAGTAAGCAGTTAGTCAAAGTAACCCTATAATCCCTTTATTCCAGTGTACCCATCAATACCTCCAAATAACGTGCCCACAACTGGCACTAAGTACGTGGACCCTGAGATAACGCAGGTGGATGACCGTGGCTCCGTGTTCAGGTGTCCGAATGGGTACAGACTTGGAGACGACAATACCTGCGTTGGTAAGTCTTTCAGATGCTTTGATATCTTTTAAATCAAAAGGTTAAACAAGAAGTTAAATCAGTGGGAAAGGGCGAAAGGACGCTGTAGATAAAATTAAGCTGCTTAATGAAGTTTCAGGTTCTATTCACGAGTAATAAAATACATAAAGCAGTAAGTCATTCCGAACAGACACCAGACTTAAATACCAGCAAAAAGTGTAAATAAATAATTTAAGTGTGGGAGAGCCATGCTTCGGCATGAATGGGCCGGCTCGACCGAAGTGATACCACGGCCTCACAGAAAACTGACGTAAACCAACGCTTGCGTTGTGTTTCGTCGTGTAAGTGAGGTTACCGGAGGCCCAATTACCCTCCCCTTCCCCAATCTCCCCAATCCCTGAATCCCCAACGATCCTCAAACTCCTAATTCCCCAAAAGGCCGGTAACGCACTTGTAACGCCTCTGGTGTTCCAGGTGTCAATGGGCGACGCCGATTGCTTACCATCAGGTGATCCGTCTGCTCGTTTACCGGCTTATGCCATAAAAAAGCATAATACAAGTTCATAATACAGTTCTTGTGTTGTTACAGATATAAATGAATGTCTAACCGGGGAAGCGAAGTGTGGACCTCGACAGATTTGTACGAATCTTGCTGGAGGATACTCCTGCAACTGTCCCCATGGACATCGCCTGGTCGGAGACCATGAGTGTGAAGATGTCGACGAATGTGCGCTAGCTGGTAATGTGGTAAGTGGACCAGCCAGATATAATTGTTAAGCCTTTGACTGCCGAGAGAAAACTGCTGAAGGCCAATCCTCGGCACCGGTGACCTACGTGGCGGTTAACGTGTTAATATGCAGTTCAAAAAGTTCTCTCTTTCTCTCTCTTTCTTTTCTATCTTACCTACTTTGTTTGTTTGTTTACTTATTCGTCTGATTCTTCTTTCATTCTTCCTCCCTTTCGTACGAATTCAAATCCAAAGGCCTTAGAACAAGTTTATTTTACGTTTAAAGTAATCAAAACGTTACCACGTTTGGCGCTGATTGGTTGGTTCATTTTAACCGCCCAATCACAGCGCTGAACGCGTACTCGTCTCAATTGGTCGTTTCAAGAATCATAGCATTTGCTTTGGGTACTTAACCACTAGTCAAATTCAATCCTTCTTTCGAACCGTCAAAAATGTCAATTTTCTTATTATTAATTTTGTACGAGATTGTGTATTGTGACGTCACGTTTTTTTAGCGTCAACCAGCATACTTATTTCTTAAAAAAATACTGGAAAAATACTAAAATTAAATCGGTCATAAAACCAATTACTTAATGAAAGTGTGATTATTTTTTAATATTTAATTATATTGAATAAACCAAATAATTTATTTTGACGTGACAACGTCTTATAAATTGGTTTGCCGGGTGACACTTCAAGAAACTGCGTTACGCTCCGCTCACGTTATGCGCTCACAATGAGAGCGAGTGAGAGGCACGCGTCCCTTCCACTCGGGCATGGTTAGCCCGCCTAAGAGCGAGAGAGACAGACATAAAAAGTGAAAGGCACGCGTCCCTTCCACTCGAGCACAGTTAGCCCGCCTAAGAGCGAGAGAGAGAGTGAGAGAGATAGGCATACACATCTTTGTATAAATAAATATTTTAAATTGTTACTATTATTTCATCCTTCTTCCTACTATACGAATGAATATTCACAATAAAATTATTTTACCACTCAAAGTCGTTGTCACGTAAAACTTTCGCCCGTATACCGACTTTACAGGCAACCAATTTTTTTAATTTGCTTATGTATGACTTACAATGTTATTTCTGTCAATGCATTTAATGAGAATTTCAATTACATTAATGGAAAAATATATTTAAAATTGGAATCATCTTTAACGTTTTTTTTTCTGTTTCCAGCCTGTCTGCTCCCAAAATGCGGATTGCGTGAACACGATTGGTTCCTACCAATGTAAATGTCATATTGGATTCAGATCTGCACCAGTTAACGATAAGGTAAATACGAAGGATTATATTAAATCAAACATTTTAGGGTAAAGATGAAGATGAAGATAAAGGTAAAGATAACAAATTCCAAAAGCAGGAACTTGTTAATTTTGAGCATAATATCACGCCTTTTATCCCCGAAGGGGTAGGTAGAGGTGCACACAGAAGTAACACCCACTTTTCACTATTTATATTATGAGTCCCATGTAATAGGAGGTGAGCCTATTGCCATATACCGGGCACATTTCCTGACTCCGTGCTAACTATTACCGTCCGTACGAACTACTGAGATTTAAAAAAAAACCCAGTAATATTTTGCCCGACCCGGGAATCGAACCCGAGACCCCTAGCCCGGTAGTCGCACTTGCGACCACTCGGCCAACGAGGCAGTCATTCAGCATTTTGAGCATGTTTTTAATTTTCTTTTTAACGTTGCCCCACACTGTGTTTTGGGTGCGTTTACAAACATACAAGTTCACATATATTTCACATCAAGACCTGAAACAATAATAATTTGTGGATCACAACAAGAGTTGCTTCATGCGGGAATTGAACCCGCTGCCCGTTGCGCGGCAGCGGATTGTCCAGCCACCGCACCAACCGAGCTGTAAAAGGCGCCATTTTCTTTTTCCTCTTCTTAAACTTCTCTTAATTTTGGATCTTTTTTACCAGGTTTGTGTCGATGTGGACGAGTGCATGGAGTCTCGTCCAGGATCTCTCTGCCAGCACAGATGTAACAATGTATGGGGCTCCTATAGATGTGCCTGCCATAGGGGATACAGGCTCAACCCAGACAACAGGTACGTAATATAATATTTGCTCTATAATTTTAAGGAATATGATATTCTTTTCTGGTCTTCAAAAGATCATGAAAAATGAAATGTTTTTTTTTTTTATATTTCATGGGTCGAAGTTTGACCACTATAGCCTATAGGAGCTACTTAAGTATAGACGCACTAGCTATTCCGTGGGTGTAATATCTAAACTACGAATCTTTCTGTAGAAAACGACTTTAGTTTAGAAAAAAAAAAGTTTAGAAAAAAATATGTTTGTTGGGCCGACTCTTGACAGCAGCAATTGTATTGTATTGTATTCTTGTATTCTTCTTCCAGCACATGTTCAGACGTGGATGAGTGCACAGAGTTCAGATCTAAGATCCCTTGCGTTGGACGATGTCTCAACGAGCCGGGAAGCTACCGCTGTGCTTGTCCCTCAGGATACCGGTTGTCAGAAGATAAGAGAAGTTGCATTGGTGAGTGTTTAGTCATCATAGTGTTTTTCTTGCTGGGAAAAGACTATTGTGCACGACGGCAATACTAGGTCGCAAGCCGCCCGCGACGTGTTCCGAACGTGTCCGAACCATGACGAAAGGGCAAGTTCAGACACGAACATCAAAGGCGCGCGGCGGCGATCCTTTGTTCCGCGCCGCCGCTGCTTGGTTTGAACTTGCCTTTGAGCATGTACAAACATGACTCAACGTCGCAGAGCGGCCGAGTCGCGTGCCCCGATCAACAGGAATTATCCTGTCCGCGCGCCTCGCATATAAAAGGACTGTACCCGGCGAGGCGCATCAGTTGTCAATGAGTTGTCAATGAGTTGTCAATGAGTTATCAATGTATTGTCAGTGTATGTAGTCGTTATGTAAAAAGTCGATCATAGCCAGTCGATCGTAATATTGTCAATTTCATCTCCACTAGTGTTGTTAACATTATCATCGTAATAAAGTATATCAGTATACAAGAGTTCTCCAGTTTCATTATACAGTCCATTTGCTCTCCAAAAGGACCAAGCTTGTCGAGGACTGATCCACAGCCTGATCCCTCCGAGCCCGTACATTTTCTGGTCCTTCGAAGCCGAATAAAGTTCTAGCAAGATGGTGTTAACACGCAGCCGTAGTGGAGAATCCAGGACAGAGCAGACCCAGCAAGAGCCTTCAGTGACCGCCGGACCGGGTGCCAGCAGCTCGGCACCAGAATCGAGCTCGGTCCGAGTGACGGACACAGGAAGCGGGTCTACGACTACCTACATCGACGTGACGCATGGTACGCTTAAGCCCAGCGATCTCAGGTCACGCCGTTCTACAGACTCGAAAAGGAAGCGCCTCGCAGAGCTGGAGGCCAGAAGACGGCTGGCTGAGATGCAAGTTAAGCTGCAAGAAATAGAGTTGCAGTGCACCTTAGCCGAAGCTGAGTCGAGTGACGACGAGGAGTTGGTGGACGACCTCGCCTCCGTGAGGATTGGAACGTGGCTAGCGCGACCCGCGCCGCCACCTGGAGGTGAGACTCGGCCGCCGCCACACGACGCCAGCGGCGGGAGCATCAGCAGAGACGCAGCCCACGCAGCGACAACGACGGCGAGCGGCGCCCCGGCGGGCGCGCAACCGCCGCGAGATGACAACGGCTACAGAAAAGTGTGTGAATGTGTGTGTGCGAAATCAAAGGGCAATATCGCGAGTGAAGTGTCACACGGTAACGTTAGTGATAAAGTGATAGACGTACGAACACTCGCCGCGGCACTAGCGCAGGTCATGCGCAGTTCCAGAGAGCCCCCGAAGTACATGCAGCAGCTACCAGTCTTCGGCGGAAAACCCGGTGAGTGGATAGCTTATAAGGCCACGTATTGTGACTCACACACGTACTTTTCTAGCGTAGAAAATATTGCTAGGATTAGGTTAAGCCTCAGAGGCGCCGCAAAGGAAGCTGTAGGGAGCCTATTATTTAGTCAATCTGACCCTCAGGTCATTCTAGACGCACTAGAAAGACGTTTTGGTAGGCCTGAGGCCTTGATAATGACAGAATTAGATAATGTGAAGATATTACCTAGATTAAATGATAACCCTAGGGATATTTGTATATTTGCTAGCCGTATTGCAAACACGGTAGGTACGATAGAAGCACTACATAGAACTCAGTATTTACATAGCCCCGAAATGTCGCGCAACATCATAGAAAAGTTAACGCCAATACTAAGAAATAAATGGTATGATTACGCGGCTAACAGAAAGTACGAAGATATTCCCGTATTGAAGCTATTATCTATGTTTCTGAATGAAGAGGCCGACAAGTGTAGCGCGTACGCGCTGCCGGAGCGTGTTAGTGATAACGCCATTGATGTACGACAACGGCGCAGAGTTGAGCGCACGTTCGTCGTGAGTAAAAGAACATCAAGTGAGCTATGCCCGGCATGTAAACAACACGGCCACAAGTTACCAGACTGCAACAAATATAAGCAGCTAGACATAGATATTCGGTGGAACATAGCAAAAAACAATAACATGTGTTTTAGGTGTTTACGAAATAAACACAGAAGATTTATGTGCAAAGCGCCTATTTGTGATATCAAGGGATGCAACATGAAACATCACAAACTGTTGCACAAAGAGCGTGATGATAAGACGACTCACAACAGACCGCCGCACGCGCCGCTATCAATGACGCCCGTTATATCACATGAATCCGTGACGTCAGCGCGCGAGACAGTCTCAACGACATCGCCTCGGAATCGCCGCGCGTACTTGAAGATAGTTCCTGTGACGTTACGCGGACCACGTACAAGTATAGACACATACGCCTTGTTAGACGATGGGAGTACAGTCACCTTGTTAGACGCGACAGTGGCAGACATCCTTGGTGCAGATGGGCCAGCTAGTCCTATGCAGATACAAGGCCTAGGTACGGAAGTCAAGCATGAGCAAAGCCGCACTGTTAGTCTCCACATACAAGGCAAGTACCACAGCGTCCCGCAGAAGATAGAGGCAGCGCGCACCGTAAACAGGTTGGAAGTCATGGCGCAGACTGTACAAACAGAAGACATAAACAATTGTAGGCATTTAAACGATATAAGAAGCACTCTTGTTCACGACCGCGCGCGACCGATGATTTTAATAGGTCAAGATAACTGGCATTTATTAGTAGCCACGAAAACACGTACAGGTGCGCGCGATCAACCGGTAGCATCATTCACGAAACTCGGTTGGGTATTACATGGATGTCATTACTCAGTAAATAAAGACAGAAGAACATTTTGCGGCCACATTAGTATTAAAGAAAATTCAGAACCAATTGAAGAAACCGTTAGAAACTGCAAATCAGAATCAATATATTGTATAGAACCTAGGAAACCTAACAACCACCTAAGTACCCTAGATCGAGATCGGTGCCTAGGTAAGGACGAAGAACAAGTCAATCGTCATGTGGTCAACAAAGTAAATAGTCCAAATAAGTACATACCTACACCTGCTGCTTACGCTCAACGCGCCAAAGAACAAAAGGACAAGGGCTTGCCGGCCGAAACCTTATCAAAGGGAACCGCCGCCATACAGGATAAAAAAGCGGCGGCCGGCAACAGCGCGTTATCAGTGCTAAGTACATGTGGCGCAAGCGCACGTGTTTTACGTTTGCGCGGGAGAATCACAGCGGTGGCAAACGTGAATGCAGAATTAAAACACCCTGTTCTATTCAAAAGTAAGCATAGGTACAAGAAGTTAGGTATCACGTATTTGCATAAACAGTTACACAATAGCGGGAACAACATAAGACAGCGTCATAGGATTTTTGTAGCTATAGGTAGGCACAAAGACAAATGTGTAGAATGTAGATCGAAATGCAATATACATAGGAATAGATTATAGGTATATAAGTATAAGTGAGTTTATAGACATGGGATAGTCTATAGATATAGGTAGAGGTTAAAATAGTTCTATAGGTTTATAGGTATAAGTATAGGTATAGGTTAGTTTGTAGATAGATTAGTCTCGCTACCTATTTCAAAGCGGCAGATAGGGACCTAGGTGAAAGTGCCTTAAGCACTTTAGGAAGTGAGTCCAATGCGCGGTCTATAAGCTGGAAGCTTATACCACCGGTGTCGCCGTTTTGGCAAAGATGGGTACGTGAATACCAGTCGGTCCTTCAAGACCGGCGGGAGCCCTACGGCAGCGGCACCCCACCCAAGGTTGGAGACGTCATCGTGATCTCCGACCCTTACCTCCCACGCAACAGTTGGTTTAGAGGAAGGGTGATACAGGTGCTGCCAGACACAGATGAAGAGGTACGAGTAGACATCATGAACAGACGACTCGTACTCCGAAGACCGGCGAAGCGCATTGTCGTGCTCACCATGGAGTCGCCTGATGGCGACGGCGGGAGAAATGTGCACGACGGCAATACTAGGTCGCAAGCCGCCCGCGACGTGTTCCGAACGTGTCCGAACCATGACGAAAGGGCAAGTTCAGACACGAACATCAAAGGCGCGCGGCGGCGATCCTTTGTTCCGCGCCGCCGCTGCTTGGTTTGAACTTGCCTTTGAGCATGTACAAACATGACTCAACGTCGCAGAGCGGCCGAGTCGCGTGCCCCGATCAACAGGAATTATCCTGTCCGCGCGCCTCGCATATAAAAGGACTGTACCCGGCGAGGCGCATCAGTTGTCAATGAGTTGTCAATGAGTTGTCAATGAGTTATCAATGTATTGTCAGTGTATGTAGTCGTTATGTAAAAAGTCGATCATAGCCAGTCGATCGTAATATTGTCAATTTCATCTCCACTAGTGTTGTTAACATTATCATCGTAATAAAGTATATCAGTATACAAGAGTTCTCCAGTTTCATTATACAGTCCACTTGCTCTCACAAAGGACCCTAGCTCGTCGAGGACTGATCCACAGCCTGATCCCTCCGAGCCCGCACAACTATAGAGAAGAATTATTTTTAATATAATATTTTTTTTAAAACTATTTGCTGTTTTTTATGGTATAAGACGGTAAACGTTGCGTTATCGGTTTTTTGGTGATTAGGAATTTGAGGATTGTAGGAGATTCAGGGATTGGGGAGATTGGGGAGGGGGAGGCCCAATTACCCCTCTCCCCCCGTAATTGGGCCTCCTGTAAACTTACTCACACGACGAACACAACGCAAGCGTTATTTCACGTCAGTTTTCTGGTATCATTCCGGTCGAGCCGGCCCATTCGTGCTGAAGCAGAGCTCTCCCACACTTAATGAAATGGCTTGAAACTAGTCGAGTTCCTAGTCAAATTATTGCACGAGGAAGTCGAAATACATAATAATTAATTTCGTATACCTCACGAAAGATATAATGTAAATGAGATTAAGATCACAATGGTCTTAAGTGAAGTAGGCTTCATCAATCTATTAAAGTAAATTATATTTTTTCCAGACATTGACGAGTGCGAGACAGGTGAAGCTCTTTGCGCGAAGGGTTCCTACTCGGCCACATCCAGTGACGTGTGTGTGAACACTCGCGGTAGTTACCGCTGCCAACATGTCTCCTGTCCAGTTGGCTATCAGCTTGAGAACAAGCAGTGAGTGTTTTGTTAAAAAGTTTATTACTATTATGGGTATTTTTTTTAAGGGTTGAAAATCATCGAATGACTGCTCCTGGGTGAGGCGGGAGGGAGTGTCAAACTCTTACTGACTAAAAACCACCCCGTTCCTTCTCCTGCACGTCGAGCCGGAGCCCCGGTTACCCGTTAGGTTCTCCGCGACTCCGAATCGGCATCGGCCCTATTGGGCCCCATCTGTGGTGGTCTGATGGCTCTTTGTGGCGCGCGCGGAACGCTCGGCGCCGTACGCTCGGGTCTGTTTCTGGTCGGACGGGGAGCCACCCATGCTCGCCGTCCGCAGGCCCGCGACTATTATGGGTATTAAATAAGGGTTAAATGAGGAGAAAGTAGAATTAACCCGTCGTGTTGCGGAACGCAGATCCAAGCGTGACACAATATGTTTTCTATTGTGTCTTATATTCCGTCAGTCAAGAGGATAATTTTAATATAGTAGCCAGCTATTTCACACTTGAACGTTATCGTACGCTGCTAATAAAAATATGGGTCCCGGTATGACTTGAAACTAGTTGAGCTTTTCTCGAATAGTAATGCTGAGCAGCATATTTCACTAAATTAAGCTTATCTCACGACAGTTACTCACAAAAGAAGAATAAAGTCAATTCATCAAAGTCAATCCTACATCACGGCTTTTATCCCAGAGGGGATAGGCAGAGGTGCAAATTACGGCACTTAATGGGACTATACAATGTAACACCCACTTTTCACTATTTATGTTATGAGTCCCATGTAATGGGGGTGAGCCTATTGCCATCTGCACCTGCAGTCACACTTGCGACTACTCGGCCAACAAGGCAGTTTAAAATCTAGGTGTAAAACAATAATGTTGTTATGTTTCAGCCGCTGTAACAAAGTGGAGAAAGTCTGTCAGCCTGGAGATTGGAACTGCGCTCACCAGCCGACGACTATATCTTACAACTTCATCACATTCGTATCGAACCTGTACATACCTGACACTAAGGTAATAAATTATTTTCCAAAATTATTAAACAAGTTTCTTGATCTTTATATACGAATGTATGCTTTGAAAAGTACACAGCTTCAGAAAAGATATGGCTCGCTGAGGTATTCCTCGTAGCGCTCCCGTTTTTAAAAAATATTAGAATTTATTTCTTCGAAGCGCTCCCATGATTAACTTTAGGATAGAGATGGGATTATACTGTAGCCGCACCGCACGACTACATACCTACCAGTTACCAGTACCACCGAATACCTTTCCATATACCAGATACCTTCCACAATACCTTTACCAAAGTTATAGACTCACTTCGTTTAAAGAAACAAGAAACCAATTGTCTTGAAAAAGACAGTTTACGTTTTGACTCCGTTTTAAGAAACCAGAAACCAATTGTCTTGAAAAAGACAGTTTTCGACTTTCCTGCATAGAAACGATAATCATCACTGCGGCAACAGCGTTATCACACCGTGCCGCGAGCGATCGCTTCGAAAGAAGCGGTTTGGTAAAGCAAGCAGCCAAGCAGCGCAAGCGGAGCCGGAGTCGGAGGCCGGAGTACTTGCATTCATCTTCATTCATCTGTAGGTAGTCTTCAGTCTTCACTCAACGCCGGCTCTCGGAGAAATGCGCGCGCTCGCGCCGCGCGGTCATACTTATACGGAAGGAACCGATAGTGCCGTGTGCAAAGCGGCGCCCCGCACCCCGCGCGCCCCGCGCACGCCGGCGCGCCGCTATTGGTCGAAACTATCACCTAACTATATCTGATCTTGTCTAGTTGTAAATATGTAAATAGAAATATAAGTAGCGTAGTTTGGCGAAATAAAATCATTCTTGTCAACACCTCTCATCGGAGTTTCACTACTACTAGAAGATAAGAAGAAACCTCCTCTAGGACACTAGGCTCTCCTACCTAGCTCCTAAATTGGTGACCCCGACGTGATCAACGGATCTCTGCAAGAATCAATCAATCGCCGCCTAGTACTACAGAAAATCAAGCTCGTCGTAATGTCCAACTCCAACGAAAAAACGCCGGAACTCTCCAGCGTGTCGACGTCACTGCGCATCCCACCCATATGGCGCGACAGAATACGCCTATGGTTTGCGCAGTTCGAGGCGATTATGTCTCCGCAGAAAAAGGGCGACCAAGCCATGTTTGAGCTTGTCGTCGGTCATCTCGAAAGACAAGACCTCGATGAAATATCCGACATTATCCTTCATCCTCCGGAGAGAGACCGCTACGAAACCCTCAAAAACAGACTACTCCAGGTCTATGAGGAGTCTGAACAGCGTCAAGTTCAACGCCTTCTCTCCGAGATGGAGCTCGGCGACTTAAAACCATCACAGTTACTTCGCCGGATGAAGAATCTCGCCGCGGATAATATATCTGACGCTGCGCTTCGTATTATGTGGACAAACCACCTCCCCCAGTCCGTGCGCGCAGTCCTCGCTGTCAGCGACAACATCGCTAAACACTCGGACATCCACGATCTAGCGATGATGGCTGACAAAATACTCGAACAGACGCAACCTCATGGCACAGTCGCTGCTGTGACTGAAAACCCCGCTTTCCCCCGTGTACCTGCAAGTATTGAAGACAAAATCGATATGCTTACGAGGGAAATCGCCGAACTCAAAGCAGCACAATCTAACCATCGTTGCAACCGTCAGTCGAGACGACCTCAGAACAGATCGCGATCATCGAACCGATATCGCTCCCAGTCCAGACAGCGCGATAACACTCCACGCCGCACGGAATCTTCTGGAATTTGTTATTACCACCGCAAGTTCGGGAAGGAGGCACAGCGATGCACACGTCCGTGTAATTTCCAGAACAACAACACCCGTCCGGAAAACTAAAAGGTGCGTTGGATGAGGCGGGAACCGGCGCAACAACTACGTCATACCGCCTGTTTATAACAGACAGAAACTCACGTCTGTCATTTCTAATTGATACTGGCGCAAACGTCTCCGTCATCCCTAAACGAAAAGGCGTGAAGATAACCCCAACTGACTTCTGTTTATACGCCGCAAACAACACGGTTATACCTACCCACGGTGAGAAGACGCTACAATTGGACCTAAACCTACGCCGACCTTATAGTTGGAAATTCATCGTCGCTGAAGTCAGCAAGCCAATCATCGGCGCCGACTTCCTACGCCACCACCAACTACTCGTCGACATAGCCGGTCGATGTCTTGTCGACAAAGTAACCAACCTCACCGTCAAAGCGCCAATCTCATATTCCGCCGAGCCAACTGTAAGAAGCATAGACGTCGAACAGCCGTATCATCAAATATTGAGTCAATTCCCCGATATCCTAAGACCATCATGCATGAAGACCACTCCCAAACACCGCGTGGAACATCACATTGAAACCACCGGTCCACCTGTACATAGCAAAACCCGGCCATTACCCCCACATCGATACTTGGCCGTGAAGAAAGAGTTTGAAGTCATGATGCAGCAGGGATTATGCCGTCCAAGCAAAAGTCCCTGGTCCAGCCCACTACACGTCGTCCCGAAAAAGAATGGCGACATACGGGTATGCGGCGATTACCGAAGACTCAACGACGTAACTAAACCCGACCGCTACCCTGTACCTCGCCTCAAAGACTTCACATACCTACTCCACGGCAAGAAGATTTTCACCACACTCGACCTGAATCGTGCATACCAACAATTACCCGTTTACGAACCCGACATCGAGAAAACAGCCATAACAACCCCGTTTGGCTTGTTCGAGTTTCCCCGAATGTGTCCAGGCTTAAAAAACGCGGGACAGACATTCCAACGGTTCATACATCAAGTACTCAACGGGTTAGACTTCGCATTTCCATTCATTGATGACGTAATCATCGCGTCAGAAAACAACGCACGCCACATCGAAGATCTACAAGAAGTACTACGAAGACTAAATGACTACGGTATCACTATAAACCCGTCAAAATGCGTCTTCGGTCAAGAAAACGTCAAGTTCCTAGGATATCAAGTGTCGAGCGAAGGAATCGAACCTCCACTTGATAAAGTCAACGCTATCACTGCTTACCCCAAACCCGAAACAATACTTATGCGGTCATACTTATACGGAAGGAACCGATAGTGCCGTGTGCAAAGCGGCGCCCCGCACCCCGCGCGCCCCGCGCACGCCGGCGCGCCGCTATTGGTCGAAACTATCACCTAACTATATCTGATCTTGTCTAGTTGTAAATATGTAAATAGAAATATAAGTAGCGTAGTTTGGCGAAATAAAATCATTCTTGTCAACACCTCTCATCGGAGTTTCACTACTACTAGAAGATAAGAAGAAACCTCCTCTAGGACACTAGGCCATAGTATAAAGAACAAAGTAGGTTATCTTCATACAAATGCTCCGCGCGCGGCTTATATGTGTGCGCCATAGTATCTATGCGTCGACGCACGCACACTTTAACAAAATCTCGACCCGTTTCTCAGTGCGCCAGGCAGGGCTAACACTGCACGAGGTTCGCGCGCGCATCACTTTTCGGCACTGTTAAATGAAATAAAAAATGTCTGATAACCGTAGAAGAACGTATTGCTGTGTGTTTGGGTGTCTTAATAATTAATCGATTCCAGAACTGTCTCTGTTCAGATTAAGTACCTATTGAACAGAAAAGGTAAGCTAGTCACTTTTTCTAGCATAATATAATTTGTAGGTACTTGATGATGAGATACCTACTTACTTATTCTTACTCTTATCATTCTTCATAGTTCCTATTCAACCAGAAAGAAGAATTACCTACTAACTACTATACTTAAATATTATAAGAAAATGTGGTATTGTATTGTTTATTTCACAGTTTATCTGATTTGTTAAGAGCGTGGCCGTGTCGCATTTTTCCATATAAATGTATTCCCAAATTTACTTTCTGAATACTATGTATAGAGCTAAAGTTTATTTTAAGAAGTTAATAATCTTTTTATAAGCTTTTTATTTTTACTGAATTTATAAATTGATAAAATATTCAATCATAATATGCTTTTCATTTCATAAATTTAGATCAAGTGCTGCTTGTTCGAAAATATTAACAAAAAGTAAAAGTGACAACCCTGGGGATCAACGCAAGAGTAGGCTAATAACTCGGCGGGCGGCCTTAGATAACCTACTGTGTTCTTTATACTATGACTAGGCTCTCCTACCTAGCTCCTAAAATACTAATTGAAATTATTGATAATAACTAGGTAATAAGTAGAACAATGTATGACTACGGGCCGGCCCGGCTTCGCACGGGTTTGGTATTTTTTTTTTTTGTTTTATTGTAAATCCAGTTTACTCGTATTTCAATTAGTCTACTAAATGAGGAACAAAACGGGGGCGCTTAGATGGGAGCGCTTCAAAACAGGAGCGCTACGAGGAATACCTCGGCTCGCCTGGTGGTAAGCAAATATTGTGGTCCAAGTACATTTGTATCAGAGATATCACAAATGCTTTGTGGACCATAAAGGAAGCTATCTATTTAATTGTGCCATCGTTTTCGGATATTATTCTAACTAGCCCACGCCTTCGTACACGCAATCCCGTTTTTTCCGTTCCCGCAGGCTCATCGGGAAATCTTTGGATAAAAAGTGTCTACCCTATGTCCATCTCCTAGTTCTAAGCTACGTCCCCATTCATTTTTAGTCAAATCGAGTAAGCCGTTCTTGAGTTATAAATTGTGTTACTAACACAACTTTCTTTGTATTACCTACTAGCTACTTCCGCGCGGTTTCACACGCTCTGCTCAGCTCCTATTGGTCGTAGCGTGATGTTTTATAGCATATAGCTATCCTCGATAAATTGACTATCCAACACAAAAATAATTATTCAATTCGAATCAGTAGTCTCGGAGATTAGCGAGTTCAAACAAACAAAAGAACAAACTCTTCCGTTTTATAAAATAGTATAAGATATAAAATATAAGATACATTAATTGAAGTAAAGGCACATGTTTTGTTTAGTTATGAATGTATTTTATTTTCCAGTTGAAACTCTTCACAATGCGCGGCCCTGTCTGGGCCTACATCAAGATGCGATTTGAATTGAAGTTAGTCAGTGTCAACGCACCGCCCAGTGTCAAGAGAAAAGCTGAAATCCACGACTTTTTGTAAGTTCATTAAATTCCGATTAATAATTGAATATTGATGTTTGAAGACTGATGATTGATGATTGACGATTGACGATTGATGATTGATTGGTTAATAGATACCTAATATAATGCTATATTTCTTTTACAGATTAACGCAAAATAACAACGAAGGTTTGACGTCACTAGTGCGACCGCTAGAAGGACCACAGAGTATAGAACTAGAAATGTCAATGGAATTGTACACTCACGAGCAATTTGGAGGCACAGCTATTGCTAAACTATTCATATACGTCAGCGAATACGAATTTTAAAGGAAAATATAGTGGCGAGCAAAATAAGTGGCACAATTTGTGTGTTATAATTTTTCAGCATTTATTCTGGTATTTTGCCAATCAGATTATGTTATTTTACAAAAATATTAATTGAATATTTGAACGCATTATGATTAACTTAATTTTGTTGGCAATTGAAAATTTAAGAATTCCTTCATGGTGTACTGTAGGTACATACATATTATGTGTTTATGTTATAATTGTTTTTATATCATTTACACAATATAAAACTGCATTAAATAAACGACTGCCAGTGAATGAATAGGACCACGATTTATACTCAATATGTCACATTAGTCTTAAAAAAAAATTGGGAACAATAAGTATATTTACTCGTTTTTTTGTGTTTTACTCATTTTTATTTTAAAGCCAAGGATTCACTAGTTGGCAAATTCCAGCGTCATTTGTGGCCAGTGACGTCGGGTGAAGTAGCGCGACGTTGCCGGACTTTGGTCGACATGTGTGGCAACATCAACGTCGCTATGGACATAAGGCGCGCGTTTTTCGCCTTATAATCATTACTAAACCCGCCCCGGCTTCGCATGGGTGCAAAATGCATGTATTATATATTTAAACCTCCCTTAAAAATCACTCTATCTAAAAAACCGCATCAATATCGGTTGCGTAGTTTTAAAGATCTAAGCATACATAGGGGCAGGCAGACGGCGGATAGCGACTTTGTTTTATACTATGTAGTTTTTTTCTTTTATAATTTCTTTATTATCATAAAAAGCATACAGTCATTATAAAACAGACACGGTCAGTTTACAAGAAACATGATATAAATATGACCATGCAGGCTAACGCACCTATTTTAGGTCTTTATATTACATTCGTATAATACTCACAGTTTTTTTCTTTACAATGTAGGTACACAACACTATTACACAAGTTATTTAATAAATCAACAATAACGCGTCTTTTGAACCAGACACACTTTTTTACACAATAATTTTCCACCAATATATGTAATTAACAGTTAATTACTAATAATAATAATACTATTATAAAGCAACATTGATATCAACGGCATCCGCAAGAAACTATCTCAGATACCCACCACATATGAAATATAATTTATTGCACCGGCGCAAGCGCGTCATCATTACTATCAGATTCGGCGAGTATGTAGTGATGCGGTAGACGGTATCGATTGTAAGTATCGACATACGGTAGTGTCGATAAACGTGATAACCCGATACTAGATATTAATTTATTTTTGTGATTTGTATTTGTGTATTTATAAAATGTTAATGTTACTTTATAAATAAATTTTTTTACTGTAGGAAATTTAATCCTGCTGAAGAGTTTTGAGATTCGTACAGAATGGAGTATTATATGCAATTTTTAAAGCTTTATTTTGCAGAACTTGCAATTTTTGCAAGTTGGTTTCGCAAGTGCTGCTCCAAACGGGTGCAGCATAAGTGAAACATGGCCTAATCAGTGTTGTGTATATTTTAAGTTTAGTACTAGCGCTTAAATTACATTTCCTATTCAAAATAGAACTAAGAGCACCCATCGCCTTAAGTCCTTTTGCTTTCGCTTTTTCAACATGGAAAGTCCAGTTCAATTTGGTATCAAGATTAACACCAAGGTATTTAACTGTTCTAGACCATGGTATACGATGTTCGTTGATAACTAAAGTACGATCAGGAAGTTTACGTTTTCTCGAAAACATAATTGCTTCAGTTTTGGAACTGTTCAACTTTAGTTTCCATCTAGTGAAGTAGTCAGCCAGCAATTCAATGGACAGTTGAAGCCTGCTTATAATTAGGTTTTCATCATTAGATGAGGTGTACGATGCAGTGTCGTCAGCAAAGCACGCTAAACTGGTTCGAGGTTGTTTAGGTATGTCGTATAAATACGCCAAAAATAATAGTGGTCCTAAAACGGAACCCTGGGGAACTCCAGCAGGGATTTGTAAGGACTCAGATTAGTTGAGCCAATGTGCACTGACATTTTACGATCAGAGAGGTAGGACTGGATGAGTTTAATTAGTTTAACAGGTACCCCACACAACAAAAGCTTATGAAATAAACCATTATGCCAAACCGTGTCGAATGCTTTTTCAACGTCTAATAGCACCATGCCAGTTGATTGTTTCAAGTTCAGATTATGCGAAATGTGTTCACTAACGCGAGCAAGTTGTTGTATTGTAGAATGTGAATTTCGAAAACCAAACTGCTCAGGAATAAACTGACACTCTAGATGGGTCATCAGACGCTCATAGATAATGCGCTCGAAGAGCTTAGCAAGTGACGGTAACAAGCTAATCGGGCGGTAATTAACAGCAAACGAATGGTCTTTCCCTGGTTTGGGCAGGGCAATTACTTTAGCTGACTTCCAATAACTAGGAAAGTAATGTAGTTTCAAGCACGCGTTAAACAGTTTAGTCAGGAGAACAATACATTTTCGGGGAAGGTTTTTTAAAAGAATGTTATGTATGTTATCATAGCCAGGTGCCTTGCGGTTTTTGAGTTTGCGTAAATAAACACTTATCTCACGTGGGCGCACTAGTTTGATTAGACATTCCTTAGCAGCAGTCGTATTAATAAGTTCCATCGACGACTGAACCAGTGAGGATGCCTCAGCATCAGACCATTCAGCGGTTAGACTCATATTATTTATAAATGTATTCGCTAACTCGTTACTGATCAGCCACGGATTTGGTTAATTGATTATTTGATTTTTTAAGAGGTGGTATAGTAGATGATTGATTTTTGAGGGACTTAGCGATACGCCATAGGTCATTATGGGAATTATCAACCTTTGACATTTTATCCGACCAAATTTTATCATTGAAAATTTGTACAGCAGTTTTTATTTTACATTGTAATAGGTTAATTTTATGTCTAAGAATTTTGCGTTCAACAGCATTATTGGTTCGTATTTCGCGACCTTTTAAATTATTTTTAGTTTTAATCATTTTTTTTATAAATTTAGGTAATGGTTTAGGCTTATACTCAATTCTAACCTTAGGAATGAAGTAATCTCTAGCCTTAGTGATTTCATTAGTTAGCTTAGCTACTTCATTCTCGATTATATTTACCGAATCAATAGTTTTACTTATTAAGGAAGTATTGTTATTTAAATAAGTTCGATATTTTTGCCAGTCCGCGGAACTATATTTATAATGCATGTAAATTTTTCTTTCAACTGACATGCACATTGATACTAGTACGGGCAAATGATTGGACGAAAGAGCGGTAATTGCTTTTAACTTTTGAACGCAGGGCAAATTGGAAGCTATAACAAGATCAGGTGTCGATGGTTTGTTGTTAACACAATAATGTACCAGAGTTGGGATAGATGGTGCGTAGATACTGTAGTTGCGATCAAGCATGTGCTCAAAAAGGACTTCTCCGCGACGATTAGTGTCACCCACACAGCACCAATGGGGATGGCGGGCATTGAAATCGCCTAATAACATAACCCTCCTGCCAGAGTTTAGTAAAGTTTCTAGATCATTAATCAAAATATCAAGATTAGGTGATTGGTATACAGAAAAAACTAAAACTTTTTGGAAAGACACAGTAATTTCAATACCCACCGCCTCCAAATGCCCGAGAACAGGTACACAGACTTGCGAGTGAGGTATATTACTTCGTATTAGGATAGCCACGCCTTGACCACGACCGTCGTGACGCTTATCTTGACGATAGCAACTATATCCCGGAATATGGAGAGAAACATGTTCGTTAATTCTGGTTTCATTAATAGCTATTATATCTGAAGATAAATCACAAACAGCCAGATCTATAAGCTGAGACAATTTTTCACGAATGCCGTCCGCATTCCAGTATAAAATGCGAAATATATCAGACTCAAACACAGTGACCTAGGTGAGTAAGTACTAGAATAACTTTGTCCATCATAGTGGGACATGTTAGAAACTGAGTTTTGATACTTTTTATGATGTTAAAGATCTGAAGCATCTCGGTGGTGATTTCTTCGCTTCCTGTGGTAGTTTCGAACTCAGAAATATATGCAGTTCTTCTAGAATCCATTGGTGCTGATACGACACTGGCCCAGGTGCGATCACTTAGTACAGGTCGTGGCTGCATTCTAACTGGAGCTTTAATTTCCTTTGGGACTGGCATAGTCAGATTAGCTGGAATAGACTTTTGGGTCGGAATTGTATTATTAGGTACTTTCTGCGCTTGGCGCTTTGCTTGTATTTGGTCCAAGCGCTGTAGGTATTCAAGTCTTGCAGGACATTGGCGGTAGTTTGCCGGGTGATCTGCTTTGCAGTTACAGCACTGAGCCGTTTTGGTTCTGTCTTTCTTAACACAACTGCTGGTAGCATGATCACCGGTGCACTTTACGCAGCGTTCGGGCAGATTACAATTTTTAGATGCATGTCCAAATCTCTGGCATCGATAGCATTGGGTACCAAAGTTGTAGTTAGGCTTAAATCTCTCAATTTTTACGGCACAGTTACACAGGTACTTAATTTGTTTAAATTTAGTGATTTCTGTTCCGGTAGGGAGCTGTACCAAAATTGGTGGGCATGTGGATGTGTTGGATGACGACGACATACGCTTTAAAATGGTCACAACGGCATTGCTGAACCCAAGGGTTGCTAGTTCCTCACTAACGGAGTCAACTGCCTCAGTAGGGAGGCCTCGAATGACGACCTTGTGTTTTCTCTCTTCCTTTCGAGAGTGCGTGTGGAACAATAGCTTTTCAGCACGAAGGCCATCGACGAGGGTTTTATGACCTTGGTTAGAATAGCAATAAATCGCTACTTTACCTGCGCTTCTATATTGCAGATGAAATTCTTCTGTAAAACGTCTGACAGTATCCGTAATTGTCTTGTGAGTCCATTCTTCGCATATTTGTAGTACAATTGGCGGTATCCGAATTGACTTAGGACGTCCGGAAGCATGCCTGCTTTGTGCGGTCACACCTTGACCTTCATCAGGATTATTTGGTAGATCCTTAAACCGATTTGAAGTACTCACCGGTATCTGATTAGG